CAAAGCTATTGTATTTTTCAGAAAGATAGAAGATAGTTACAGAAAATTATTAGTGAAACAGTAGGTCAGGTGAGATGACTGTAGTGGTGCCTGTTGCCTGTAGCCTGTGAGTCTGTTGAAAGGCTATGGCCTGATGCTATCCCATCACTGCAGGAGGCACGGGTTTGGCCTCTCTACCAGTTTCTGGGCTCTAAATTAATCTTCCACTTTCTTGGGTTTTATGCATGCTATAATATCATTATAGTAAGTGAAAAGTTCATTATCAGCTGCTAGAAAAGGCTTTTGCTCCATTTTTAGTCAAAACATTCAATTCTTTCTTTGGCTTTAGCTTTCATTTTCAGAGGAACCTTCCTCTGACTTTGGTGCATAGTGTGTAGTATCATGTCTCCAGCACACAGAGGCTTGTAAAGAGGAGTTCCCCCCTTTCAGCCTGTTTGAACCTGGCTGGAAGCCTGCCAAGATATCCTGACAGGACAGCACTGTATGGGAACAACAGCTGAAAAAATTAAGGCTTTGTTAGCACAAGACTTGCTACTTCAGCTGTGATGCTCTAAGGACAGAGCTGTTCTGCTTACTCAGCTCCATCCCAGGGACTTTTGCACTGTAATCCACTCCACAACGTTTGGCCTCAGGTTTCATTGTTGGGTGGATTTCTCTCAATTTTCTCTCAATTTCTCTCTTAATTTAAAGGTAAATTGAGAGGTACAAATTCATAGTCTACACTTTGACTTAACAATCAGGCAGTGCCGCTTGTGCTGCTGTTTATTTTAGAGGTTCACGTGAGTATATGTATCTCCCATGTAGTGAGCTCACATGAGGCAAGTTTGTGTGGGTTGTAAAGGATCTAGACTGTGTCTGGTAGAAAAAGCTAAACTTCTTTCACTCCACACACTGAGTTAAGGTATGAGATAATTTCATTTCTGACAGTCTTTGGAAAATATTATTTTATCCCACCATGGGTGAAGAAGGGCCTTCCACTGTTTGTTGTGATTCCATTTTCTAATTTCAGAGACCACACAGCCACTATTTCAAACAGGTACAGTAAATAAAGCATTGTAAGTGGACTCACGCTCCAACCAAATTTAGGTAGTAGCAAACATAAATTAATATTTGAAAACACATCAAACTGAGGGTGGAATATTACTTCTTTATGCATTTTTAAGGGGGTTTTTGTTAGCTCTATATTCCTTCAAGTTTTAGCAATTGTATCTGCAAGAAGGGAAGTATTTTGTCAAAAACTGGATTCCATTTTTCCTGCACTTGGGCAAAACGCTCAAATCAATCTACCCTTTAGTGGATAAATTGAACAGCACTGGGCTGTATGTATCTAATCCTGCCCCCCTCTTTTAATTTTTTTTTTAATAAAAATATGTGGTCCATGGACTTTTGCATAGTGCGTCTGCACAGTGTAATTTAATGTGCCCTTCTGTGAACTTTCATGCAGAAAATGTCAGTTAGTTACAAACCTAAACCATACAAGACATTGCCCTAACAATTCCATCTTCAGAAAGGTTAGTGTGTGGGCTTTTTTGATAATGTGGGAATTATTGAGATAACTTATTTGAAAGGTGGTGAAGGAGAGGAAAATGCTGTGCAGATGGAGAAATAAGATTTTATTTTTTTTTTAACTGGGGTTTTAGCAATTCAGAGTACTTTGAAAAGATGTTGCATCAGTGACATGAGACAATTGAACAGTATTTTACCTATTAAAAATAAAATGTTCTCGATAATAACAGGGGCTTGTATTCTAACCCTGCTGGTATAAACCATCTATATTGTAACTGCTGCGTTCTTTTTTAGTTTTTGCGCATTTCACTTAAAGTATGTTTGGGTTTCTTGTGTGCTATTACTGGCAGTACTTGATATAAATCCAGTTTAATCAATCCAGAAACTCATTTTCTTTTTAACATTTTCCAGCTCCCTGTTTCTCTCTCCTTCTCCATGATGTTAGAAGATTCTCCAAAGGCACCAACATGGGAATTTACAGACTCTTCTTTTCATTAACCATGGATAATGCCATTCAATTTTGACATGGGTCAAACTAGCAATGTCCATGTTCAGGAGGTTAGCTTGAAAAAAACCCTTCAAATAAGATTATCACAGTGGTCTGCAATTGTTATTAATAACTTGAGATGTAAATTGTCACTGGATTCTAAACTACATATAAGAGATATGTTTCTATATTTTTCTTTAAAAAAAATAGATTCTTTTTCCCATGCTACTTAGACAAACCCATAGTTTAGGATTGCATTTATCTCTGCTGCCATTTTATTTGGATTTCACCTTATGTGTGTCAGTTGGCACATACATTTTTGGAGTTTTGTTGGAGATAGGGGCAGTGGAAAAGGGGATTTTTCTCTCCTCCAAGTGAAGGATTGCCATACAACTGTGAGTCACTCTTAATTAAGTCAGAGTAAGCTACATCAGATGGGCTGGTATCTGAGTACACTGTGAAGACAGCTGAGCTGTCAGTGCTTTACTTTAATTAGACTTTTAATATTTCATCCCTTACTGCCCAAGGTGTGACCTGTCAAGCTTCTGAGAGGCTGCCCCTTCCTGACAGAGGTGCAGTGCTGAGCCCAGGACTGGCACACACTTCTATCCAATTTATGTACAATCACTTGGTGGGTTTGTGGTCTTTGCTTTCTTGATGTGCTTGTTGTCTGCAAGAACAGAATATAACTGATCTGTTACTGTTAAAGGATATTTCGAGTTGTTAAATAGTTCATCAAAAGCCAGCCCACATCTCCTGATCCTAATCTTTCACAGTGGTTTGACAGTGCCTAGCAGTTTTTTCGTCTTTAAAACTTGATTTATTAGTAAAGTTTAAGAGGCAAAAAACCCCAGCTGGATATAGAACAGGGATCCAAAATAGTGTGCATTTACCCAAACTGGATTGAGCTGACGTCGTGTCTGAATAGAGAATGTCCTCTTCCCCCATCATGATTCTCCCTTTCCCAGCTCCCTGTTCTTCGTTCCCTTGTCCCCAGAAGGTCCTCCGAAAGGCAGCCAGGCAGGGAGTACGAGTGGCAAAGGCAGGCGGCAGCTTTTGTGAATTCTCAGGGAAGTACTTGTCGCGTCTGGGGGTGCTTTGTGCCACCCTCGGCAGCTCCTTCTCAGGAGTGAGCATCATTAGAGAGTTAATTACCCCATGCAAAGACCCGTTGCCACTGATAGAGAAATACATACGACTGTAAGTTTTTCACATCTAGGGTTTGCTGTTAAGTATGTAAACAGCGTTCAAGCTGCATTTTGACAACTGGCTCCCCCTCGGTGTTGATCAGAGCAGTGCGTACCCTGCAGCTGGAGCACTGAACCAGAGCTGCGCTGCTGCTGTTTGATACCGTTCCTGGGGGACACTGAAATGTTTCATACACAAAGCTGTTTGATCTCTAGCTCTATATTCTTTGACACTGCCTTAGCGTAGCCCAGTTTCTTGGCTTTCACAAAGCACGTTTCTATGTTAAACACCACCTGCAGAACCCCAAAGCCTTGCATTGGTGGATCACAAGCCAAAGTAGCCAAAGTGCCTTTTGTCTCTGTGATAAAGTTGCATAAACCATAAACCTACAGATCATTATATGGAACCACGTAATGAACCTCTTCAATCATTTCCTAAGCAGTGGAAAACCCTATTGGAAAGCAAGAGATATTAATATTTATTATAAAATCCGTTGATTGTTATCAGAAGAAATAAAATTGTTCAGACGGAGAGCAAAACTATTGTTCAGGAATAAAGACCCAGATAAAATCTGAAAGTTTTATTTCATCTCTGGAATAGCTAACCAACCTTATTTGTTTTGCTTTTACAAAGTACATTAAGAAATACATAAATAATGATTTTTCTGTCTGAATCCTACTAATGGCTCTGTTCTGGGGCATATAGTCTCTTCACCCTCTCTGTATTTTGCAGCTCATTCTGTCTTAAATTACACTATCAGTGCACAGGGACATCAGTGATTCACTATAATTTATAGCAGTGAGAGCTGAAATAGTCCCTGTCCTAAGTTTCCCAGATTGTGATGTAGTTTGTGGCACCAGGAAAGTACAGCTGAGAAGCAGGACCCATTCTTCAACACACGTATAGTATGGGATGCAACTTCAGCAAAGTGTCCTAAGGGAATTATAAACAAAGAATCTAATTGGAATAATTCTGGATATAAGTAAACCTCTCAGTTCAAATTTGTATTTAGCAGGGAGTGAAGGTTGTGATCATAGCAAAAATGTCTTTAGGATTAAATGACAGTAGATATAATTTCCATCTGGTGTTTCCATGAAAATATGAAACTGAAAATAGAAAAAAATAGTGCAAGTTCACGTTTCCACTTTTTTTTTCACCAGTACTTCTTCAATAAAAATGTGGGTTTAGCTTGATTAACATTATTGTTTAATTTACTGTGTTGAAAACAATATATTAATTAAAATAATAAATTAATTAAAAACCAATTTTATGATTATTTTTACATTTTTATACTGTCAGAGGACAGATTGATGAGACATTTAATTTAGTGGGGAAAAAAAAAAGAATTTAAAATAGAACGAAAAATTTCATGCATGCCAAAGAATTGTTTTACTTTCTTGGTGTTCTTCTAAAAATGATATTTTCAATTTGACATGCTACTTTTTGGTTAGCAACCTGAAAAAATAGTTATCCCCACAACTTTAGTAAAAACCAAAGGGAAAGTGGATTTACTAAATTTTCTTTTTCTGACTGAATACAAACAATACATATATAGTCAACATCAGGTTCGATCAATCTCTTTCTCAGGCTTTTTAATAGTTTAATCAACTGTTTCACACAATTTGCACCAAAGTGATAATGCCTCTTTGAAGCAAACTCCACATGTTGAGCTTCGCAATCGACATTCACGTTACAGGTTCCAATTATTGTTTTCCTGGTTTGTGAAGCACTGAGGATTATGCCTCAGATTCCGGCACAACAGTAACCATTACAAAGCAATACTGATCCATTCCTTTTTCCCACCTTCTTCTCTCTCCAGAGCTACATCTACAATGATCCTGTCAGGTACTACTCGAGGCAGAACCCCAAAGAGCGAGCTCCTCCTCTGGCCCGTCCATCAAAATCCCAGCAACAGCTCGCTGAGAACCTCCGTGGGAGGACCTTCAGCCAGAGCCAGAGGGAGAAGTTCTCACCAGAGTCAGAAATGGGGCTCGACCAAAAAACCCTGATGGCTGCACTGCACACCTACATCACCCAGAACTTGTCAGCACAAAGCAGCGACAAAAGCCCTCACAGCAGGACTAAAGGGTCTCAGGTTTATGCTGATAGATTCTACTCCACACAAGTCAGTCCTTTTGATGGAAGTTTTGCCAAAGGAAAAGGAGAAGATTTTAAAATGAAGAAGCTGTTCCAGCCAAGGCCTGCTTCTGGAGTGCTGAGGCCAACCCCTGAGGTGCTGAGTCATAAATCTGCTTCCCAGGATGATCCCAAGGACCCTCTGACTGTAGTGGATGGTAAAGTTGATATTTACTTATTTTATCTTGTCTGAAGTTTCCCTCATGCTCAGTGAACATTTTTGAGAGAAAGAAAACAAAATTAGACAGTTGATATATCTCCTACTATTGGCATATTTATATCTACCATAACACAGTAACAATGTTCACCATTCTAACTACTCTTTCCCTGCAAACATCTGCCCACATTCTTCAACCCACCCTCCATATGCATGCAGAAATATATGGCACTCAGTAAGACAGAGCATTTATGTAACTTGTTATATTTTCAAAGCATTTTACAAACAGCACGTAATTATGGTTATATCTTTGCTATCAAATCTGTTTTCATGCAGTCATCCCACACTGTATAAAGGTAATTTGAAATGCCTGGTTTTGTTCCATATCTCTTTATTTAACTAGAAATTCAAGGACCATGGGTAAAATTTGAAGTCAAGCACAGAAGTGAGATAAATTCTGGTGCAGAACACAGAGAAGGAAGGAGTCTGTCAATTCCATGACTAATACAGGAGGGTGGCATTGTGTTTAGTTTTGTCTGGACATTCTGTAGCAAACAATCCATTTGCTGGATTTTCATCTATTTTTTGCAAATGCTGTTTAAAAATGACCAGATCCTGGTTTCTTTTGTACATGATAGTTTGACAAATATTTAAATGAAGATGGAGGGTAACATTCCACAAGATTCTGTGATAAGCTTTAAGCACTGCATTATAAAACGAATCTTGGGGATCACATAGACTTTATAATTCTGATTAACTTTGTTGTTACTTTAAATTAATCTTAATATTGATGTTATTCCAGTGGTTCAGAATGCTTGAAAAATGAAAGAATTGATCCTCAGCCATTGTCAAGCACCTGCATCTGTTACACTGCAGTCACCACTGTCCCAGAGGATTTTGGTGATATGTATTCCTTTACATCCTTCTTGTAGTTATCATCCATAAAGTGTAATGTTCTTTGATTTGTTTTGTTGTTGGTTAAAACAAAATCAACAAACCCCAAAACCAGAACACACACAAACACATAGAAATGTCAAAGTTGCAGCAGAGGAATGATAATGCTTGCAATCTACAGGATGCTCAAAAGTCAAAGCATTCTTGGTATGGTGCCCAGAGATAATAGGTTTCAAGGAACGAACTATAATGTAAAATCAAATCCAGGTGGCACTGTAAGTCTCTTGCACAGGTTAGACAATTTTGTTGCTAGACTCAAAACAAACTAGGCACACGCTGGTTTCATTATCCTCCAGCTGTTCCACTTCACCTTTCCTGGTAGGAGCCAACTGGGAAAAAAATGCTTAACACTTACGGGGAATAACATGTTTCACAATTCACTGGGTTGTACTGCTTTGACTTCTCATACATAATATGCCCTGTAGGAACTTCTGCCATGGCAGTTGCTTTTAAATGTTGCATTGACATAACATTATGAATTGAGTAGAAAATAATATGGTTTCCTTTGTATTTTTGAGCCACTTAATAATCTCATAAGTAAGTGGTGAGGACAGATCCCAGTGTATTCATTGCTTAAAATGCTGTCCATTGGAATGGTGGTGGTCTGGGTTCAGATTTCCCAGGCTGACTGCATCATCTCCTTCTGCTTTTAACCTTTCTCCTACCTCTCTGGCACTTCAGGGTTCTTGTACACTTGCAGGTTGTTTCTGTCTTGCACTCTGTAAACCACAGAACTCTTAAAAAGCTGGAAAGCATGAGATGCTCAGTTCTCTGCTGCATCTGATACAAGATTAGATAAAGGAACTGGACTGGGAGAACAATCCAGAAGGTACTGAGCCGATTAGTCCTGAGAATTGCTGCAAAACAGTGGCAGGTAAATCTGCTAACAAGGCACCCTGAGGGAGAAATAAAAGAGAAGAAAATGTGGAGCTATTTTTCTATCAGATTTGGAAGCTGTTGCCTCTAGGAATAGTGTGATGTGCGTGGGTACTGCCTTTGTAGTCACTGTGCAATACTGGAATTGTTAATCTCTCTTCTGCACCAGCTGTATTTAGAATTTAGCTTGGTTTTATGTGGTTTGTTTTAGTCTCCTCATTGTTGATGTGTTAAATATTACAGAACACATCTCTCTGTTGCTTTGAAAAGGTCAAAAAATTAGTAATTCAGAAGTCTTTAAAAAAATAGCAAACTTCCATGTTTATGGAAGAAAGATGTTTTTGTACATCCTCTGCCTTGCAGAGCTGGGATCACCATTCCATACAGCACTCAACTGCTGTGTACAGTTAATGTGTGGTCAGTAGGGTGATGGGGTTGAAGAAGACAGACCACTCTGTGAGACTTCTAACAAAGTTACTGCTGCCATACCATGTGTTGGTCAGGCAAGTTGGCTTTGGTAATTGTGCCAGTGGAGTATGAGGCATGATTTACTTGCTATACAGTAAGAAGCTGTTCTCCCTTCATAAGGTGCTGATGTTAACTACTAGGGAATTATACCAAAAATTACAATAAAAATTACATCACTTAGGGTATTTATGCCTTTATTGTCATCATGGTTCCAAGGCAACTATGAAAGGCAACTTGCATTCTTCGCGTGGAAAGCTGGAGCTAAGGGAGAAATCTGGTTTGTGGTACAAGCCCTGTGAAACGTGGCTGACATTGCTGAGTCCCTTCAGAAGGGGTCAGTTGGAGAGTATAAAGTTGTGCACGAGTACATGCATGTTCGAGCACCTTTGCTGCTTAAGTGCTGTACCATTGCAGTATCCATCTGCTTTTTAGTCTTTCTCCAACAATATTTTCAGATTTTATACATTCACCACGTTACCGAAAGGTGTTTGTAAACAGATGCACTGATGTTTATCTGTGTATCAGCCTTATCCAATAATTTGGGAATTATTGCAAACGTGAACAAGTGCCATAACAAGAAGTGGAAACATCCATATTTAATATGGACGTGGACTAACATCGTAACAGTAGCCTCGTGAAGTTATCAAGATTCTTCACGTAGATCTACATTTCACCAGGCTGTTACACTTTGGTGACTGTCCCTCCTAGTGTACTAAAAACATGAAGTTCCTCATACTTAATGGCTTTGGATGTTGCCTTTGGTCCTAAATTATATGCTTAATATAATTATATGCCAAAAGTAACATATAATGCCAAAGTTTTACTCATTTCAACACAGGCATTTAGGAGCTCATTTGATGAACTGTGCCCAGGTGGCAATGGCCAGGGCAGGAACACCAACATGGAAGGAAAAGGAGGCTCCACTATATAAAATTGGGTTTTAGTGAACCAGGAGGACCTGCAGTGAACCTTATCTCAGCATTATCTGGATTAGGGCCTTTGGCCATTTTTTTTCTCATGTTATTCCCTGCCCTGTTCCCCCATTCCCATTTTGTTTGACATTGAACCTTTTTTTTTTAATTGACTATGAACCTATGAAAGTGGGCTGGAGAGATAAGATTTGGCTAAGACAATAGGTACAGAAAAAAGTTAGTTTGGAAAAAAGGAAATGGAATGGAAATGACAAAGCTACATTGACTGCAGTTGTTGAGCAGCTCAGTAGTTGATCTTGACAGCTGGCTGTGAATCAAATGAAACAAACAAAAATCTAGTAGTGTTACATTAATATAACTCTTTTAATTATATATGTCCTGAAATATAATTCTCTTTCAAGATTTGTCTTCAATGATGTTTTATTTGTAAAGTTTTAGTTTGGATTCGGATCTGACATATATTCTCTTTTCTGACTTTATTAGCTCTGCTTCAATAATTTAGTTTTTTCTGTCAAGTTATTGCCCAATAGTTCTATAAAACATAAGAACAGAAATTATACCTAAGAAGGCACAAGGCTCCTGTGGTAATCTGGCAGTACTGTTTTTTCCAACAGCTTAATTTTCAGCATTGCTACCATATGCAAGTGGCCATCTGCCAGGTAGTTGTTGTGCTTCTTGAAAAAGTTTCTTGAACTCAGGTTAATCAAGTCTATTGAAAACTTTAGTTGCAGTTTGGACCAATTTGCTCTTGTAGATCACCTTTCTAAATTAAAGCATTTGGTCATTATGTTTTTACTGTATTGTTAAATTCATAAAGGGGATGGATACAATAAAATGAAATGTGGAAAGGAAAGTATTCAAAGTTTTCTCTGAAGTGTTGCTAAGCTTCCATCAAACTTCCATATTAATTTTGCTGCCTCCAAGTATCTTGGCCAAGAGAATTTGGCACAGATTGTGAGTTTAAGTCTTTGACTCTCATTGCTGAACACTTTCCTGTACAAAGCACTCCACTATTTCAGTATGGTAGCAAAATCTTTGTCGGCTGTCACAGTTTGAAGTAACATCACAGATTTAACCTGTCTTTTTTATTGATAGCAGCATGTAAATGTGCTTAAAACTATCTTTTTTTAAGGTAAATTTCAAAAGTTCACAGCTTACAAAGTCAGCTGAATTTTATAATTAAATCAGTATAATTTTGTAATAACATCATGGTGGATTATTGGAAAGAGGTTTCCTTTTCACCTGGAACAGAAAGTAAATCAGAACTACCTTCCCCATGTGTCAACATGCTCTTTGACTCACAATGAACCTATTATTTAAGCTGTTTAAGTTTTTTTGCTTTATATGGACTAACTAGTTAAGGGAAAATGGCATTTTGTTGGGTTGTTGAATTATGGGCCAGGTTGGAGGAAGTTAATCTTTGCCTTGAGATGGCAGTGGGAAGCTGATAGTTAGCTGCTGGCTCTCACCTCTTCAGTTAACATTGAGGGGTCCAAAAGCTGACAGATGTATCCAAAGTAAGGCATCTTTTTGCCAATGATAAATAATCCTTGATGCTTGTCTCCCTGCAAAATCAGAGATATTCTACTGCCTCTTCCCTGGAGCAGAAAAGTTTCTTGACTACACCTACTTTTTCCTGGTCTTTACCTACTTCTTTCTGCTTTGCTATGAAAAAAAAAATTCCTTCTTTTTAACCCTTCTTACATCAGTTTTTTTTTTCCTGCTTTTTAATTCACATTATGTAAACCTGAAAGCTGACAGCATGGTCCAAAAGTCTTGTTTAAAGATGATGATGAACACGTCCAATCACAGGGCTTAACAGGGAGAATGTCACTATTGAGAAAAAACACTGAATGTTGTCTTCACACTGCTTTTGTGTAAATTCATACATTCAACAGAGATTTAAAAGCAGTCCATATCTTCCTACACAATACTGCCTATGAGAAAGAGTTTTATTGCTTGCATGCATATGCATGTGTGTGCTAAAATCCTTATCAAAATGAATAAGCAGAACAGAGGCATGACTGAAAATGGTTTTGGTAGGCTACAGTAAGCCCTGCTTTTAGTTTCTCATACTCCAAGGGACATTAGGCTGAGTTTTGCAGAGTTATACAGACTGGTACTGAAATATAGATGCAATATATACAGTCAGAAAACTGCATTCCCTGAAGAGCTGTTATGCTCCATCTTCTGACTCACCCTTAATATCCATTGTCCTTGAATCTCCTTATCTTCAAAAGGTTTATCACATCCAGGTTGTTTTGTTGTTTTGGGGTTTTTTTGTTTTCTTCCTCAATGTGACTGGTAAAACATTCACAGATGACAAACCCAAACAAGTTTTATATATATATATATATCTTTGAGAAAATACTTAAGTTCCAAGAGAAATCAATAAAGTTTAGAAGGGTTTTTTTTTTCATATCCATGTATGTAATGGATATATACCTATACCACTTCTAACTGAAGAGGAGTTTTTGATTGAAGGGAAAAATATCTGACTCTCATTTTTTTCCCCCAGAAGTCTGTATAGCTCTTCATCTTGCAAAGAACAAATCAACAAAGAAACTTGATCTCTAAGACACAGTAGTGTTGTTTGCACTGTTTTGCAGCTAAAAAAAATTTAAGCTACCTCAACATGTTTCTTCAGTATTTTTAGTCAGTCTTGACTAGGAAACAATGCTCTTCTTGTAAGGAAAAAGTGATCATTTTATGCCCTCTCTCTAGGACAACTTGCTGGGTTGTAGTGGCATACATCACCCATTCCTGACACAGATCCACCTTGTCATAAACTTTAACATCCATTTAATGCTGCATGAATGTGTATGCCTTCCTTTAGAAAACAGATGCTCTCCAGGAAGGAAAAGCTGTCTTTTGGGAAAAACAAAAGATGCTTTCTGATATAGGCACATGTGCTTCATGTGTGCAGCTAAATCATGTGCTTATGCTGTTTTGTGATCCAGAGACACTTATTAAAGATGTATTGAAGGACCTAGAGAAACATCAAGTGAACGTGGAGAATCTCAGCTCAACGGAACTGGATGAGATCGCTGATACTATCGCCACTGCAATTCAGAGTGTTGACATTCAGCAAGAAACACAAAATGGTGCTGGAAAAACTAGAGAAGACAAAACAGAAGCACAAACAAAGAAAGGAGATGCTCAAGGAATGACAGAGTTTCAGATGGGATTAATGGAAAACAGCATTAATATACCAGGTATTCATTATAATAGTTAAGTACAACAAAAAACCAGGTGTCCCAAATTTTCCTCTATTGTTTCACATTGGTGTCAGACTTTTAAAAATCCATTTCAAAGAAGTCGTGAGGGAAATTTCTGTATTTCCCCAAAGGCTGCAGAATTTTAGCTTTGCTCTTTTCTTTTTACAATGGGTTCTTTATTTACCAAAAAAAATCTGTTTGTGAACACTTGGCCTTCAAGGTTCTCAAACAAGATAACCCTACACACACAATTATATTGAAATACGAATTGCTTTATGCTGTTTGGTCTAATTTCCTATTCTTGAGAATGAGATATTTAAGCAAAATGATAATGAAAATTATTATATTACAAGATGTATTTCAAAACGTGGGAAAAAAAATGTTTTACAGGTATTCATTCTTTAATGTGCCACAATTACTTGCAGAAGAAAGTCTGAGACAAGTAGAGGTACAAAACCACTTGTTCCCTTTCCTGCTTAGGGAATAAAAAGAGTTATTATGGTTATTTGCTTCTGTCTCCATATATATTTTCCTGGTGATGCAGATTCAGGAGCTACAGTAATTGCCATTAATGAGTGGATACCACAGTGGGACTTGTTATCAGTCAGTCATTTTCTATTTTAGGAATGTTATAATATCTAGGACACCAGAAATGTATACTATAAATCCTTAACAGTTATTTTAACTTACTACCTTTTTTCATAGTGTTATACTGAAATCCTTACTAGTTAGGAATATTCTGGTTATTTTAGTTGCCAAATCTGTTTGTATATTAGAAGGACCAAACCAAATCATGCTGAGAAAGAAGAATAACACCCAGTTCATAAATCAAAAAGCCAGCATTATTTGACTGAGGTTAAGGAAGTGACTGAATATCATCACTGTAGTTGAGCTGTAATATGGTTTTGGTGAATGATATCTGTTGAAATAAGTCATCTTCTTCCACCAAAACATGTATGAGGGATGTATATGTTTCCTTTTTTTTTTTACTCTAAATGTTCATTCAGCTAGAGCAATTTCATAGGGTTTTTTTGCTTAGATATTGTTAAACTGATATGACAACTGGACACTTAATTAGCAAAATAACACTATTACTTAGGCTCTTGAAGTACTCTGTCTATTGATCTTGCATTAATTTGCTATCAAAGTGGGGTTAGAATAACAATAACAAATTATACAGTGCTCTTTACTGTGCCCTTTCAGCTTTGATGTCTTAATGTTTAAATTACATAAAAAGGCCACTGCTACAAAGCAGCCTATGAGAGTCTTTGTTTTGTACATTGTGTTTGCCCTTCATAACTATATATTGGTGTTTTTCATATCCTACAGACAATGGAGTGCATGAAGCCAGTGCAAGAACTGATAAAGAGGTAGAGTACCGGTATTTTAATAAAACAAGTATTTCATCTCAGAATATCAGGTTTCTATGCAGTGAAGGTCAAAAACACAATTCTGAAATGTAAGACTTGTTCTGTGTTTTCTGTGGCTATGATTCAATATCACAAATAGGCAAGTTGTTGTTGATGCATTGAAATATCAAATGAACGTTGATTTAAGTCTTAATCAAAATTAGGTTTGCTGTTCAAAAAAGCAAAATCAAGTCCTTTTTTGCCTTTCTTTAATTTGTAAATAGAGATAATTCATAACAGATTCCCAAAGTTCAGACAAATTAAGGCTTTTCTTCAAGTTAATAAATTTTGAGTATTGAGGTGTTCTTGAAAACACTCTTCCCTGTCCTTTGGCTCTTAGCTCTGGTGAATGTAAGCATCTTTACCCAGATAATCTCACTGGTTTTCAGAAGTGAATGAGTAAATATATTCCCTCTGAAGGTTTGTGTTGGGACAGGGATGGGCTGTATTTCAAAATTCCCTCTCCTTTCATGGGATCTGTCATTCAGTTTTATGTGTTACCATTAATTCATTGAATATCATGTGTTACCATTAATTCATTGAATATCAGAGACATTTCAAAAGTTCTGGGCATTACATCTCTTACCCTAGCTATTAACATCAAATTTAGCATTTATCCAGATTACTTTTACAATATTCCTCATAAGCTTTGAATTGTATCCTATGGACTTCTCTCCAATATTCAGCCATTTTTGAAGTATATTCATTTTTCTGGGTTTCATGGAGCAGAAAAATGTCAAAGGAATACTTTTAAAAACTCTGTGAAACTTCTCCTACTATATACTCTGTCAAGGGCTGATACTCTGAGACCATAAACGGGCAAATCCTCTTCTGTTCACAGTAAAATCTCTTCCACCCTTCTACCAAGCAAGGAAAACACACACATGAACAATGTGGCAGAAGCTTTAACCACCAGATGAAATTCTTCAAGGAATGAAGTGCTGTATTTACAACAGACTTACAGAGGGTGCCATGTATAGATTTCTCAGTGGCAGTTTGAATCGAGGATATGATAGAATAGAATAAACTCTGACACAGAGCACAAAGTGCCCAATAACCATCATTTGCTCCCAAATGCTTGGCTGCAATAAAGTTATGTAATGAAACCAGCTAAGGAATTGTTCCAGGCACATGTTTTGACTTTTGCTCATTTGATTATTGTTTTGATTTATTAGACAGATTTTTCTTTTTCTGTGATCATATGTTTAGCTTATTGGATCACTCACAGTTTGTCACCATTTCTAGAGATGAACAAGTGAAATAGAATTGGTCATATAATATCTGTTCCCTCTCCTCTGTTGTAACTGGTGAGACCTAAGAAGTATTCACCTTTCCAGGCCCAACACATAGATATGTTGATGGATATTTATATTCTTTCTCCTTTTCATTAACTTAGCTGATAATAAAGTTTTATTTTCATCAATAATTAAACAGACAGACACATGAAAACTTCTGGAAAAATATAGTGGCATAGTTTAATGCTCTCTTTTATTATTACTGAGTAAACATTATGTTCTTAACACAGTCTGGCAGCTTACAGAAATTACAAAAATGACCATGCAACAGTTGTATGAGTAGACTCTGCCATATAAATTAGAATTTGAAAGATTTAATCTAGTTTTGGTTCAGTATATCATTCCTGTGCTTAATTTTAATTTTTTTTTTTTTCATATAGGAGAACACTGCAAAACTAATTAAATTCTTGAATGAGAATGCACTATCTGAAAATGTGCCCAAAGACCTTGGCCCTGAAGAATCTACTAAGATAGAAACCAAGAAATCTGAAGAAACTGACTCTTCAGAAGAAATAAATGCTGGTGTGGAAAATGTAAAAAGTGAGACTTTCTCAAGGGAGCTGACAACTGCAGAGAACAGTGAATCTGACTCCAATGACCCGAGTAAGACCAGGTACTGGATTAAGAATGCTTTAATGCAGGATGGAAACTCCTATGAAAAGCCTCAGAAAAACATGGGACAAGGCTTACAACTTGAAGTGAAGTCTTCTGAGGAGAAAGAATACGGCTACATTGTGACAGTGAAGGAGTAAGTATAGCAGCCAATTTGAATGGCATTTTTAACTGGAGAAAAGATAAAGTCATTGCACCTAATGAAATATGAATGTGCAAGAGGAAAATGCCACAGGCCTGATTTTTAATACATCTGAAACTGTTTGGGACCTGTTCAATACTTTGATGAAAATACAAGAAAACAGTTCCGTTTTCTTACAGTTGCCTTTCCGCCCTTGCAGATGATTGTAGGTCTTTTGCTTAGACCTCTCTCTGTCTTCTCATGTTCCAGTGACCTTCCAATATGTCAGTAAGTGTGCTTATGGTTAGGATGCAGGCTTTAAATATTTGACTTGAAAGTAGTCTAAATATCAATGCCTGAGTCATTCTTTCAAAGAATGACACCCACAATAATAAAGCGCAATATTTTCTCTGTGGTTTCATTTTGATCTGAAAATGACACATATAGGATTCCAAACATCACATATGCAGCTAGTTTAGAAAGAAAGACCTAATGATTTCAGGTCATGTCAGTAATGAATTTGACATTTAATGCTGTACTTTCAAAAGACAACTTTAGCCCCCTAGTGATACACAGTTCATTACAGGAACATTTGGGATTTTAGAATGGTGTAGGCACTTTTACATCCTTTTTCCCCCTGTGAGAGCAATGCTATATTTGGTTAGTGATCATGATTCATCTTCTGTGAGAAATTAGGAATTTTTAGGATGAGCTTACAAATCACTGCCCAGCATCATAGAGAAACTGAGACAGGAACTTCTTTAGCATGGATTGATTCTTTTGACTGCCTCAAAATTCTTAATGGGATTGAAGGCAACAGAATTGTGGAGGATTTGTGTTTTTACTATACTGTGTTGCTTTGAAATCCATGTGGCTGCATATCAGAAACAGACCAAAAATTGATGGAATATCCCAGTTTAACTGCACCTCTTGGATCCTGCCTATGAATGTTATGTGAAGCAGTAGAAGCCAGTTTTTCCTCAGCTCAGCAATACTTCCCCCAGCTCTTTTAACTCACATCAATCTGGAAGGCTCCTTTATACCCAAGAGTACCTTAATGACACCATCTCCTTTGATCATCCAGACTTTATTTGGCTCATAAATTCTGTAAAGCTTAGAGCTTTCAGAGCTCCGTGTAGTGGGAAATGTTCTGAATTTCAGTGTTCACAACCTGGAGATTCTTCACTGTGTCATCTTATCTGGTTTTCTTCCTGCTAGTCTCCCACTGATGGGTTTTCCCTGAATTATGTCTGTTATTATTCAATGAAACTTGCTGAAGAAGATCATTTGTCCAAATGTTCTTGGTTCTAGAGGACTCCATATAAACTGATATAATCCAGCACAGTTTTCTTCAGACTCTTTACCATTTTCAGTAGGAGAAATACAAAAAGTACTTTTTTATGTACTAGATTATTATAAATTTAGCAACTTTTGGACAAGATGCTTTTAGATAGATAAAGTGAAAGAAGTCCATCCTTGACTGGATACTGGGGGGAAACACAGTTACAAAGTATGAGGAAAAGGCTGAGTTACTTAATGCCTTCTTTGCCTCAGCCTTTAGTAATAAGACCAGTTGTTCCTCAGGTACCCAACCCCCTGAGCTGGAAGGCAGTAATGGGGAGCAGAATGGAGCCTCCATAATCCAAGAAGAAACAGTTATCAATCCACTACACCACTTAGACAAACATAATCCTCCATGGCTGGATGGGATTCACCCAAGGGTACCAAGGGAGCTGGATGAAGTGCTCACTGAGATACTTTCCATCATGTACCAGCAGTCCTGGCTAACTGGGCAGGTCCCAGTTGACTGAAAGTCAGCAAATGTAAATCCCTTGTACAAGAAGGATTGGAAGGAGATCTGGGGAACTGCAGGCTGGTCAGCCAGACCTTGGTGCCAGGGAAGGTCATGGAGTGGATTGTCTTTATTTGCCATCATGCAGCATGTAAAGACAACCAGGAGGCAGGGCCCAGCCAACATGGGTTTGTGAAAGGCAGGTCCTGTTTGACAAGCCTAATCTCTTCTTGACAGTGTAACCCGCTAAGTGGATGAGGGAAAGGCTGTGGATGTGTCTACCCAGACTTTAAGGCCTTTGACACCATTTCCCACAACATTCTCCTGCAGAAACTGGCTGCTCATGGCTTGGACAGGTCCATTGTTCACTGGGTGAAAAACTGCCTGGATGGCTGGGACAAGGGAATGGTGGTGAATGGAGTTACATCCAGCTGGTGGCCGGTCACAAGTGTGTTCCCCAGGGCTCAGTACTGAGTATTTATTATCTTTATTGATGATCTGAATGAGGAGATCAAATGCACCCTCTGTCACTTTTCAGGTGACACCAAGTTGGGAGAGAGTGTTGATCTGCTGGAGGGCAGGCTCGTCAGAGGGATCAAGAGGGGAAATGGCCTCAACTTGTCACAGGGGATGTTTAAATTGCATATTAGGAAAAACTTCTCTACAGAAAGGTTTGACAAGCATTGGAACAGGCTGCCCACCATCCCTGAAAGTATTTAAAAGATGTGTACATATGTCATTTAGGGACACGGTTTAGTGGTGGACTTAGTACCAGGTTCATGGTTGGACTTGATGCTAGAGGTCTTTTCCAACATAAAGGTCACTCTGCTTGGTGGTGTAGTTGACATTTCAGGAGCAATCCATTCACTATTAGCTTCTGAGGCTTTGCAAGTACGATCCAGAGGAGATATTGAGACTGTTTCAGTGAACTCCATGAACTGCTAAGATACCAGCATTTAATTGTGCCACAAACCAAAGATAAACATTTCCATCTAATAGTTGAAGAAAAGATTTGTAACACTTTAAAGACTTGTCCAAATGGCAGTCTGATTGTCAATGGCAAGAACAATAGGTCACTCCTGCTGTGTTTGTCAAGTGACCTTTCGGATGGTTGGAGAAATGCAATCCATACCAATCCATAATATCCATCACTGCTAAGGTTTGGAATGAATTGACAGTTTCAGTGTAGAAAATTGTCCAGCAAATCCTCCACTGTGCTGCTTCAGCACTTTATTATGCTGAGAAACCAATCAAATTGGTGATTTATTTTCTTTACTCTTTTCCCTTTCAAAAAATTGCAATTTTACCACTGTAGAATTTGCGTGAAAAAGATTTTTTTCTTTCTCAGTGTAATTGCTTTGAACTGTTTTATTAATTTTAACTCTGAAATTCTAAAGTAATCTTATGTTTTAGAAAATGATATCTAGAGGTTATTTTCATTTATATTCTACTTTAAGCATAGTGATAAAATACCTCTCTGCTATAGTGGGGATACATCAGCGTGAGTTCTCAAATAAGAGGACAAAAGAGCTCTTCCTATTTCTGAAATTCTAGTTCTTCAAGTTTGGAAAACTTTCTTTTTTGTGTTCAAAAAAATGCCAGTGCTCCCATTTGTTTGGCAGTTTGTGCTCTAAAATTAGGGCCTAGATCCCACAATCAAAACATTTACACAGTGTTTAGTCTCCTGAGTGTCTCATGAGGAAAGCCAAAGCTTGACTTTCCAGAATATGTAGTTCTTACCACCTCCAGTAAAACTAAATGTAAGCTGCTGCATGCTCAGCAGTTTAAATAGCCAAGCTGGCATGCAATTTCTCAAATATGAGATTGAGTAGCTAGACTTAAACGCACTAAGAAAAATCCTAGTTTGAAAGTTCATCTCTTTTTACTACTTATCACAGTCTTTCAAGCTTCAAATCAAGTCATGCTCACCTGACACCATGCTTGGACATCTAATGCAGAGGAGCCTGTCCTGTTTTGTGATTTATCAGAAGGCATGTGCTTGTAGTTTTTCATATAAATACTAGATCACAGACTAGAACACAGACAGCTTATGGCAGCTCTCTTAGCTTGTGAGCCAACTTCTGGCATTGTTGTATTAGGCAATTCCTAGATATTTCATGTTTTGTCATATGTTAACTCTCAATTCCAGACTGTCTATGTAAAATTACATAGGCTGTAAATCTGCTCATAGCTTCTTAACTGAATTGGATCCTACATGCATGTCTGTGCATTTCATTTGAGGTCTCTGGTATTCTGCTCAGGTGTTGTGAAAAAGCTGAAAACTGATCTTGTGTTTATAGTATAAAATTGCTATTGAATATGATTAGTCTGACCCATTTAGTGTGCTGAAGGGTTAGGTTAATTCCAAATGCTTGATATTACTTCTTCACCTTTACGAATGTGATAAATGATACTGCTTTGCATATAATGATTACTTTCCTCAGGGTGGTGTTCAGGTTAGGACCCTGAAGCTGGGTTGTACAGAACTCTTGGTTTATTCCCCAAGTTTTCTGTTTTCCTAGGCAGGTCATTAAAGAATTGTGTTTTTATGATCTTCATTATTTGTTTCCCCTACCAGGTGGAAACATTTTAATTGCATTTAAAAATTTAATTTAAAATAAATAGGAAAAATGAATCACCAGCTCTACAGCAATGAAACAGGTCTGATATGTTTTATTGTTCTTAGTTACTGGAAGGTCTTGATGTTTCTTAGAAGCTGAGTTTTTTATTCCATAAGGCTTTTCAGCTGTTTTTAGAAAATAATAACAGAATGTTCTTGTCCTTCAATACATATATACAAAAAGATTTGACCTCCTCTGTATATCTCACTGTCCTTTTGGAAGTTTTTATTCTACCTACAAGTGCACTTTGTCAAGGGAAAGAGATTTGTGCATATTCTTCAATTAACTTCTGCAACTAGCTTTAAAAACTAAAAGAAATTATAAACATACATAAAAGAGAAAATCTGTTGATACTGAAGTCTGATAAAATCACCAAGGGACTGCATTGCTGAGATTAAAAAAAAAGTTAAATGTAACATTTTTTCTCTCTCTTTGTCCCTTTCCTTAGAAGACTCTTCCCTTGTATAAATAGGTTCTATAAATGTTCGTAATTGATTTTAAAGTCCAAGGTTTTGCTTCTGACAGCACAACTTGACCCCCTATCTGAATAATACACATGGAAAATCCTTGCCTATGAAATTATCTAGTAGGCACAATTTGGT